TGTGTGGCGGCTTTTGGAGGTTAAGATACAAGATAGCGACGGGGATGATTGCTGTGTGTCAGCTCACGACCACAAACCAATGTGACAAGTCAAACACTTACATTTAAAAGAAGCAAAGTATTATCGACGCCAAGATATCGTTTATTCTCAATCATCTTTCCCTGGATTATTTACGTATTTTTAACCAACCCTATCTCCAAATTAAGAGTGTGAGCAGCATCATGAAATGACACCGAAGTGGATGCTCTTCATCGTCAGTAAACGTTTAGAATTTTTTTTTAAAGAAGCAAATCAGATACTGGATGCTTAAATTCCCGTATGAATATGAATTGGAGACACGCGTAGGAGGAGATTGAACTGGAACATTTGATATTTATTGCTACCTCTGTTTTTTGTGTTGTTTTTTTAACCCTTCCTGAGGACCCCTCCTCCATGTCAGCGAGCCTCCCCTCTCATTCGCCTTCTCCGTGTTTTACGGAGCAGCAGATTTGTGCGCTGTCCTCTAAATCATTTACCTCTCTCGCAGATTGCTCCCCGCTGGAATATCGGCCCGGCTGCCGTCTTTTTTTCCTTCCCTCCCTCCGCTTCCCCGGTGGACTCATTTACATTTATGCACGAGGGCAATTAATTACAGGCTGGCGCTGGCCTTGTAAATTAGAGTGAGCCGAGGTCCGCCTCGTTATTGCCCCTGACAGTTAAAGCCTTGTTTGGGTCGTGACGAGGTGGACTCCGGGCCGGGACGGTGGAAGCCGAGCAGTCGTTGGCGGCTCTTCGTACATCTGATATCACTTTGCAGCAAATGACGTAAATGCACTTTGTCGACGAAGACGATGTTTTGTTGTCATTTTCTTTTTAAACTCCTTCTGCTAACATTAACGTTTGTATATTCCAGAAGGCTCATTGCCTCTCTCTGCAGCCGTTGGTCCTCCTCCCAGGCCCGGTGTAGTTGCTGTGTGATTTGGGGTCTCTCACCCAACTACCATGAGAGTTTTCTTTCTATAGACCCAGGAGTCAGACAGGCGACTTCTCACGGTTTTGGCCTTTTCATGCGGAGACGCTCCAACTTTTTTCCGGCTCCCTTCCCCACAAGGCCGTCCTTTCTTCTCTGTCACGCAGCGATGTGTTTGTGCATACCTTACCGGCTTGACAAAAGAATGGAGAGATCCTATTCACTTCTGCCTTTGACATTCGCCTCTTGTTTTTACAATCTTTGCAAGGCGTGCTGTTTGCACAGTGGAACAGGCTTTGTCTTGAAGAAGCGGGACAATGGCGAGCGCCATAATGTAATCTCCTAAGGGTAGTGAGCAGAGGGGCGAGGTTTAGACCTATGTGCTGGCGCTTGCCCCTATCAACCCGCTCCCTCCTTTCTGCAGTTTACTTTTGCAATATTTCATGTTAACAGCGACTTAGGAGAGAATACACTTTGTCACTTAAGCCTCTCTAATGTTCACCTGGGTCTTTTGTGAATGGGACACAAAAGCTTTTCACTCATGCAAACATCCCCTTCCCTCATTCCACCCATTAAAGGTGTTGTGTGTAGCAGGCTGCCCACCCACATGCATGTCTGCAGCTCAGAAAACCTTTTTCTTCTGCAACATAACCACAAAGCATTTACATTGAAACACTATCTTTCCCCCACCTCAGGGAAGTGTTTTATCAGCTTAAACCAACCACACATAGGATCAAAGTTCTGTGCTACGTACACCCGATCGAGCACCCTGAGACATCTGTCCAGTCTAAGGAGGTCTGTAGGCACCCTGAGACATCTGTCCAGTCTAAGGAGGTCTGTAGGCACCCTGAGACATCTGTCCAGTCTAAGGAGGTCTGTAGGCACCCTGAGACATCTGTCCAGTCTAAGGAGGTCTGTAGGCACCCTGAGACATCTGTCCAGTCTAAGGAGGTCTGTAGGCACCCTGAGATATCTGTCCAGTCTAAGGAGGTCTGTAGGCACCCTGAGACATCTGTCCAGTCTAAGGAGGTCTGTAGGCACCCTGAGACATCTGTCCAGTCTAAGGAGGTCTGTAGGCCTCGGCCCCAGTAGGACTGTGGGGTTACACAATGTCTGAGCGCTCGGCTGCGTATACTGCGCGTCTGAGGAGGTTAAACTATCTCTCTCTCCCTCTTCACTCGTCTCGCCGTGTTTCAAACCCTTTTGGAATCGTTTAACTGATTCTTTAACCTTTAACTCCTTCTTTGTCTGACACAAACCTTTAACAAAGATTGCGCTCTGGACTGATCTTGCAATGTATGGACATGACCTCAGTTTATTATTACGTTAACGAGCTAACCCCCCCTCCTCCCCAACATAGATGAGTGATAATTTGTGGATAAGTTGCTTGAAACATTCAGCGGCCCTCTGAATGTCCACACGTGGGACAAGCTCATCGTTTATGGTTAAGTGTGCCTCCTTTGAAGCATATTTAGTTTCCTACAGTGGAAGTGGCAGCGCACTGAGCCTCATGTGGCGCTAAGCTCATTGAGAGAGCCACTGTCTCATAGAGACCCATTGTTCTTACCCCGGAGCGTCCGCACAAGTGCCCTTGACAGCTGCAACACAACAACATTTGGGACAGTGCACATTTTGTTGAGTTTCAATGTGTGCATTCATTGTGCAGGTGCAGGCACTGCTCCGAATGTCATACAGTCTATCTCCTTGACGTGCCGCATATCTCTTACCTCTCTTGTTACCGATATCACGGCTTCGCTTTCTGCTACAAAAAAAAAAGCAAGGCCGTGGAGTTTTGCCGCTCCGAGCTGCTTCTGCAGCGGTAACATGTGTCATTTTGCAGCAGCTGGACCGCGGGTCACAAAGGTAGCTGTTGCTTCCCCCAGTTGTCAGGAGGAGCCTGGGATGGCTTTATGGTCCCTTATGGCAGCTCCCTCAGAGGGGGATGAGAATCTATGTCATAAAAGTTGCTAGATGCCATCTCGCAGCTCTAGGTGACTCCCACGCTTTGCATCTGAAATCTTTTTTTTATTTTTATTTATTTTATTTTTTATTTTCTGCTGTGACTTTATGAATTCACTTAAAGCCAAAAGATGACGCTGCTGAATTACGGTTCCACCTAAAAATATTCAAAAAGAAACCTTAAAATAAATGTACGGAGAGTTTTCTCATACATCAGTGCGTGCAGAAATGCACAGGCCGTCTATTGTGAGCTAACCAGTGTGTTCCGGCACAAAAGGCTTTTGCCAAATTTGTGTGCTTGTGTGTGTGTGTGTGTGTGTGTGTGTTTGAGAGTGGGAGAGCATGTGCTCTTTTGCAGCAAATCTCCTCCACTGGGCAGCCAGCTGTCTCTCTGATTACCCAGCATCCTCCAGGTGTCACAGATGCCACTCATCTGCCATCTGCAGATGAGTGGCAGGGCGTGTGGAGAGCGGAGGAATGGGGGGAATAAAAAGGCGAGGAAACCGGGTAACTGGTTCTGAAGATATCTGGAACGTGTTCAGACGGGTCGGCTTAAAGAGTCCTCGGCTTTGCAGTGTTTTTGGGATAATTCAAAAAAAGAAAGAAAGCAAGAAGTTGCAGCTCACAGAAGTGTTTACAGGGTTATTTCACACGGGCGCGTTTACGCCGTCTATTTGTTACCATTATTATTATCACAAGAAAAAGCGTAAGTTGTTTTAGTCAGAATTGCTGGTAATTGTGCCCTGAGAGGAAAAAGAGAGATCCAAGAGAGAATCATTTGGTTGATTAATATAAAGGCATTAATAAAAGATCATACATGCCCAGTGTTTGCTTTTTTCTTCATTGTTCTCAATTAGCCTCAAATTGTGGAGTCAAAGGCCTGTTTGTGTTGCGTTCTTTGTGCAACTCGTGCTGTGTTTCTGTGTGTAGTGAACTCTGTTTATCCACTTGTGGTCTTTATTTAACTAGCCACCCCCGACTCTCAATTAAGACTCGCTCGCATCCTCTCTTAAGTTAGGGGCGACCCCCCTTCCGAGCTCGGTGCCTTTTAAGTTGCACCGTCGGCAGTTTGACCTCTTTGATGCTCCTATTTGTTTTCGGTGACCCCCCCCCCCCCCCCTTTAGCGAAAGGCTGATTGCGACGTGTGCTTTTGTGCGTGTGAGGCGCTAATAAAGCTGACCCTGGTTTAGCTTTCCAAGTCAGAGTGGTCTGTTTAAACTGGAACGATTAGCTGTCCTCCTGATGAGAGTGACCCCCCCCCCCTCCCCCTCCTCCCTGCTCCCTCCCCTCTCACCTCAATTTCATTGGAATCATTTTTTTTTTTTAAAGAAAAAAAAAAATCAGGCCTCGCTAACTGCATTAAGACAAATTGACTTCAAAGCTCGGTACAAGAGGCGCGCTTGTTTGTGGTTTGTGCTGCCGCGTGTGTGCCGTTGTTCGTGCAGTTAAAGTGCTTCAGCGGAGACACACTGGGCCTCTGTGGACCTCACACAGGACCTCTGTTCGGTCCTCAGCATCCAGCACTCACTGGGCTCCCGGAGCACGTTTAGCTCCACATCTTCAACCTTCCTTTCTTAGCGGCATGTGAAGAGTTTGGTCAGTGTCCGTTTAGATGCTTTAAAGCGTTGGTTCAGCCCAAATGACTTAAACCTCTTCGCAGGTAGCAGGTAGTTTGGGTTTCACCTGCCCGGGCTTGAGAGGAGAAACGTTTCCAGGTTCATACTTTTTGAATTTTGGGAATTTTCTCCCACTGTACAAATATATATGTATATATACGTATGTCTAAACGCGTTGCTCTTGAATACGGTGCACCTTTACAAAGCTTTTAGACAGCATATAATCTATTCTAATATTCTCAAACTGCATCGGACACATTAGCAGCCCACAAAAAAAGCGGAGTGAGTTATTTCATATTCAGCTGCAACAGCACAGAAAAAGAGAGTTCTTCACTATTTGTAACCTGAATTCTGAGGGGTGAAATGTCCTTTTTACGTATGCCGCTGATGCAATTATTGGATTTTTTTTTTTAAAGACAGGTGATAATAATCGGATTTCTTCCCTTCTCTTCTGCTCTCTTCTGCTCTTTTTCAGGTAACGTTCATGAATTTCAAAGCCAGCTGCAAGTGAGAAGAGGGTGTCGGAGTTGAACTCTCTTATTTCTGTAAGTTTTCCCTAATTTACTGATACAAACGACTATTATATTATATATTATTCCCTTCCACTCTAACGCTTCTGTGTGCTCCGACACACTGTTTGGCACCTGGAATGATTGCTCTCACAAAAGTGGCAGATAATAAGCTTTTACCGAGAACACATGATTGTAACACTTGACTGTGTCGATGCGTGCAGAGTGTATGTGTGCGTTGGTCCACGTTAACACTAGTAGCCGACTCTGTGAAAGTCCCGATGCTCGCGGCACATACAGAACGCTTTTGATTTGTCTCACAGCAAACGCAGACCTCCACTCCCGCTAGCATTCGGCCCCGTGCGCCCTCAATAGCTGCTTTCACTCGGGCCGAAGAAAGGGGTCTTTTAAAGACTCGCACAGGCGTCACTCCAGTAAGCTTTCAGCACCGGGCCCTACAGTATGCCTTTTAATGGACTTTCTCTCTGTGAGCAATAAAGATTATATCGGGAGTCGAATCGCGCCGTAGGTAACACTGGCCCAGATTTAGCTGCTGGGGCCGATGTCGACGGCTTCAGCAGAGTCGGGAGACGTATGAAACGTACAGATGGGAGAGGTTGGAGAAAAGAGTGATCTGACCATCTGGCTAATCCCCCTGTTTAAGAATACTTATTAAGGCCCTCTGTAGTGGCCCTTGAGCCGTGTCAGTGCAAGGTCAACAAGTGGCCTCGCGGACGACTCGCTCGCCCAGCGGACAGACGAGCCTCAGTGTTCTGTGGGGGGGCGATAATCTCCGTCCCGCTGGCTGTCGGAGGAGTTTGGTTTCAAAGGCTTGATTTATGGCTCGTGTAAATCGTGTTGTATCACAATCTGGAGTTATGGTTCCCACCCACGGGGGTCAAGACCCTATTAGGGGGTTAAACTGACCCGCGACAAGCTATCACAAGTCGACAAAACTTTGTTTTAAGCGCTCTCGAGCACCAGAACACTGGGTTAGAGCAGCTAACATGATGCTTTTCAGGGCTTCTGAGGACGATATTTTCATGATTTAAGCAATGCAATAATCAAAACGTCACAGTAATCAATACAGGCCTCATCCGTTTACTTTCTGTGGTTAAGTTTGAATAGAGGAATTGTGTCATTATTGGGGAAAACCGGACCACTTAGGCCCCTTTTAAATCCATCCAAACTCCCCTAACTTCATCAATTCATCTTGAAAGTTGAAATCGCATTATTGCCTCTTTTGAAACGCAATTGCTTCTCCGATCTAATTATATGGCGGTGAGATGACAAGTGGACCTTCCTAACAAAATTACAGTCTTTATAGGGTGCCGACAGGAACAATTTCTGATATATTTCTTTTACAAGACCTCTGGAGAGAAGTGGGGCCCTTTTGTTGGAGGGTTTGTCCGAATCAAAGCGGTGCTGAGTCCAGTGGCTTCGATCAGAGGAGCTGGGGACCATCTTCACATGATCTGACTGTCACTGTCCTGAAACATATTCATATCGGTTTCCGCCCCATGTGCGTCCTCACAGCGTGGAGAACTGCATCCAGATTTGTATTTGTGCATTTACAATCAGTTTAGTGCTCGATAAGTGAAATAAGATCACGGATCATTTAGCGCCCAATTGTGTGCTTCTCCATGCGGCACGGCGATTATGGCTGTAGGAATGCCAAACATTTAGTCATAATTTCTGAGTCGCGGTGAGAAAAGGGTCTGGGAAAAGACTCCAGCCGCTCCGCGCATCGCGACAGGCCTGTTTGTGGAGCTTTGTTGTTACGCATGCTTGCTCTAATGCCAGTCATTTGCAAAGAGTTAGAAAAGTCATCAGACAGCGAGCGGCCGTCGGACCAATTCGGGGGAAGCTAACGAGCTAACGAGCTAATGAACTCACTGAGGTTACCTGTTTGGCTTCCCCAAAAAAACATTGTCCGTCTCCGGGCCTTCTTTGACTGCGTTACGGTCTGAGGCGAATCACCGCCGCTGCAGCGTCTAATAGAGTTTAGAGCAGATTCTCAGTACTTAACCGCACGTTAACGGTGAGCCATTATGTCCTCTGGAGCTTGGACGTCTGCTTAATTGATCCGATTTGTCCACACATATGAAATGTCCACTTAGGTCAGGGGCAGAGAGAACGCTCAGCGGTGGGAAACCAGAGCTGAACTTTTGTGCGTTTAATTGTTTTCCAGGCGTCGTCTGTACCAGCTTATCTGTGTTTGTGCTCATCCCCGCGTTCGAGTCCTCGTCGACGTCCCGTCTGAGGTTTCCCCCATCTGGTTCGCTTTTTAAAAAGAGGCTCGTGGAGCTGCGGCGTGCCGGGGCTTTGAGGCAGGGCCGGGCCGGCAGCGGTTCCTCCCCACTTACACATAAATCCACGGTGCGAGGCGCGCTGCCAGAAACAGTGTAGACCGACCCTCGGTGGCTACTTCCCAAACCACCCGAGCTCATCCCCCACTTTCTCTCTTCTATTGCCCTTGAAATGAGGCCTGCTCTAAATATTATCTCCCTCTGTGCTTTATCCCTGCGTTTATCCCTAAGTCGGCAGGGAGAAGAAAGAAGCCGTGGGGTTGAGTCACTTTTTCCCCTCTCTTCTCCTCTCTCCAAAACCACAGGCAGCGGCTTCCTGGAGATGAGCGCTTTTGTCTGTTGTGTGACCGCTGCGGCTTTAGGCAGATCCTCCTCTGATGAGGTAATGCACGTGGGGTGCAGGAGGAGAGCGGCCTCCGGATCTATATCTGAACCTTTGGTGTATCCAGGGAAAGGGTACTTTGTGGGGGAGCATGCTCCTCTTCAGGGAACACCCCGCTGCACATCGGAGGGCCGCTGCGCTGATCCGCACTTTAATGGGAGGCCGCCAGAGCAACTGGTCATCAACTGGTGCCTGCTGCGCGATGAGTCAACAACGTAGCGTTTTAGGGTGAAACGCGCAATGCGGCGGGAAGGGGAAACTCCCCGTGTGCGCCGCTCTCGCTGATTTGTCGAGTTCTTCGGAAAATAACGACTACTGGAGCGGATGTGAGTCTCAGAGTGGCATCACCCTCATCGGGACGTAGGAAACATAGTGGCCTTCTGTTGAGAAATGCCAGCAGACCCGCTGACATATAATTGACAGGATAATTGCTTCCTGTTTTAACTGTCATGGGTCACGGAGGTCAGAGGTCAGGGTCAATCTCAGCTGTCGTTCTCAGGGCTACAGGGGGACACCACCTGGTCCTTAGATCATGGCGATGCAGCGCACTATACGCCCCAACGCCTTTTTTACATTCTTCAACGAGCCATAGAGAGAACGGTCATTTTCGGCTGTCTGGCTCCCTTCAACACTTCATTTGAAAAACACCGTTTTTGCGGTTGAGCGCAGTGTTGCCCATTGAGGCAGAAGGGAGGAAGGTCGCAACACAAAGCACCACCTTTCTACGGCAACGCTAACACCTGGTACCGGGGGACTGGTGGCAGCTCCCCCTCTGTAAGAGCCCCCTTCCTGCCGCTGAAGCTCGCTGCCAAACACCAACATCACACCCTCATAAATACGGCATTCTTGTTACAGTAAAGAATCCCGCATCCCATTTTAAAGCTGCAGTCAGACAAAGTGAACTGGCCTTAATGGCTGCTGATTGCATTCCTAAACTGGCCGACCCCCCCCGCCCTTTTTTTTTAGCGATCTGATCGTTTAAGTACGTTCAAGCATAATTGAGGTCTCTGCCTTGATTAGATTTGCACCAGCTTTTAACAAAGCCTGCTCGAACTTAATCCAATGAGGCCCATTGTGGGGAGAGCGGAGGGATGACATCGCTCCCGGTTAGCCTCCGAATCAACCGAGCTGTCAGGCCATAAGAGGCCGGCGCTGATAAAGAGGCCGGACGACTGAAACCAAAAGTCACAACATAACAAGTGGACGATTGAGCCGTAATTCAAGGCATGAATTTACTTTTTGCTCAGAAATCAGATTTGTTTCCATGAATTTAAGTTCAATGTCAAGCAACAAGGCAGCGTTCATCATTGTAAACGCTGATGAGAAATAGTTTTGATTCTGGCACATGGAGTCCAGCTGTAACTACCAACGTGCACCAGTCAACCCTTCACTGACGGACCCCTGCAGGGGGGTTCCACCCAAAAGTGTGTAAGTCGCCTGCGGCTGCAGGAGCGCGATGCACTCGGCAGACCTGACCCACTGGGCTCAGAGCGAGCAGCCCGGCGAGGGGGGGGGGGGGGGGGCGGTGCCGTCGGCTCTGGCTGCATCTTCCGGAGACACCTGCCCGTCCATAATCACAGTTGGGCTAAACCGTCTTCTGACCTGTGGCTGTGTGTCACACACTCAATCCCCTAATCGTCTCCTTTGTTCTCTGTCACCGTCAATTAGTCATGTACCAGGAGTCGGCCAGAGGAAAGTGTGTGTGTGTGTGTGTGTGTGAGGAGACGTGTCTGTGCCGTGCCGACTTTAATCACCCGTGCTGTTAAATGCCGTGTGCACTAATGTGTCTGAGACGTTGGTTGCATCTATTGGGCGTGCGAGGGAATTGGTTGATCAACCTAAAACTGTTATGAGAGTCAATTGATCATTTGAGTGAAAAGTCTTCTATGATAGCACATCTTGTAGTACTGCAGGTTAATTTAATGAAGACCGTTGATCGAGTCAGTTTGTGCTTTAAACGCACACAGTTCACCCGTCTCTATGAAATAAAAATACTTTATCAACAAAAGGCTAAGAAATGGTTTATGTAATCTTATCATTGGCTCAAAAAGTCCTTAAAGTAAGGCTACATCTTCTAGTTCTTAAAAAGCTCTTTCCCAAAACACACACCATCTGTAATTGTGTGCTCATTTGTCACTTTACAGTCATGTAAATGTCACTAGACTTGGTCTAATTGATCTCTTCTTTGACAAGATCAGTGTCTGGATTAAGAACAGGAAGGATTTTGACAGAGACAAGGCTCTCTCTCTCTCTCTCTCTCTCTCTCTCTCTCTCTCTCTCTCTCTCTCTCTCTCTAAACCCTCCTGTGTTCTCAACAATGGGATTTCACACTCTCTATAAATACG